ATTATTTTAAATTTGGGCCCCTATTTGTAATTATTTTCATTTTCTGGGCCCTTATTTGTAAATTCCCCTAAAATTTTCTTATAGGCCTTAACTGTTACTTAGTGAGAGATCAGTTCGGTGCTGAAACATTCCTTAAATTATATGATATTATACCTAGCATAATGGTTCTTTTAAAGGTTGAAAATTCAAATTAAATACTTGGTGGATATAATTCTCTTGGTTGAAATTTTGAAAATAGTGGATTAAAAGGGTATAAAGCACCTAGTAGCTTTATGGTTTCTTTAAAAAATGAACATATGAAGGAATCCATTCTTAGTCATGTGAATAATTAATCTACAATTTATTATGATCAAACTTATGCAAAAAATAAATTATATTACAAATAAATTTGTTACTATTTAACATTTTATAATCATCACAAGATGATTTTTTAATAGTTTCGATGTCAAATACTAATAAACTGGTTTATGCATAGGTAGTTTAGCCTGTAAGGTGAGTGGTCGAAAACATCTAACATGATTCTTGAAAAGAAACCCTTTTAGCTAAAATAATATAATAATAATAAAATAGATGAGCTTTATTTATTAATAAAACTACATTCAGATATGAACAATGTCAATATTGAATCACTTCAATATAACCTAGACCCTAGGATGTTATATCTATTCTAACTACATCAATATTTTATAAATCAATATACTCAGTGGTGTTAATTCAAATACTCACGTGTTAAACATTATTTTCAGTAAAAGTTTCCTTGTGTTTTGCTCTCATATCAAATTTCTTCCATTTTTTTTCACTAGATTAATATTTGGAATATAGGTTTAAATTGCGATCGTCTGAGTACGTATAAAAATATTGATTCAATCAAGAACTAAATAATGCGGATGTTAGAATAGATCTCCTACGGCATCAAGCTCCGTTGGAGAACGAACTGAGTTAAAGATTTGCTAACTTTTAATGAATTGTAATATCACTTCTTAAACAATGAAATTTTGAAATTTTGAAACTTTTGAACATTGATGTTAAAGCAAAATATACTTGTAATTAAGCATTTCTTACGTATTCAATTCACCAGTAATGCTAATCATAAGTAACGAATGTAATTCTCAATTCCAAAATTCCTTATTGAGGCAAAGTATAAAGTTGCATATATTCTTAAAATTCGGTTCTACCACAAAATCCCGACATCCAAAATCTTGAAAACCATAATCCTGACACCACGCGAAGCGACAATTAATATTTAAAGATTAGTAATCATATTAACAATCATTGTCAGACTTTAAATTTTTAACTGTCACGTTGCGTGATGGCGGGATTATGGTTTTCAAGATTTTGATGTTGGAATTTTGTGGTAGAACCATTCTTAAAATTCATGGAAAATACGAAGATGCACTGAAAGTTGCTAACGATGCAGATTTGACCTCAAATGTGGTTGGTTAATTTGCTCTGCGTCAATTAACAATTTAACGCTAAATTTTCACTGATTTAGAAATAACACAGGTCAATTTGTAATGCAATTAATAAGCTTTCGAATTTTTAATTCTAAATAAACTTTTTTATTTTTCATTGTTAATTTCTTAAGATGAAACGATACAACTTTCTAGCTCGTGAAACTTTTGATAAATATATTCATGTGACATATTTCAGCATTTATTGATGCTGAAATATTATGACATTTTTTAATCTGGTAGCTTTTAATGCACCAATAAAACGAAACTAAATAGAGATGAATTCAAATAGTTTATTAATAGAATAATGATGGCTTTGTAGTTATTGTTATTATTTTTATTAAAACAAATTCTCAAATTATGTACATTTGATTTCGTTAATAGCCAAGAATTACACGCGTTGATTTCTTTTTTTTTTTCTTTTTTAATATTAATTAACGTTACGCTTTGATTTCTTTTCCTTTTTATCATTAACGTGTCGATTTCTTTCTTCTATTTTAGCATTATTGTATTTTTTAGCAGTCCTTAAATTATGAGCCACGACTATAATAATTTTCTACAAATAAATATTTATATTAAACAATTATCGCTAAGCAGTTATCTAACATGTAAATTAAAAAGCATACTCATATTAATAATAGCGCGTAAATTAAGTCATGAACATTTTCCCATGATGTCTTTTCTAAAGGTATGCAGGCTTCAGCAAGTTGAAAATAAAAGTAAAGATTATCTTTCCGTTGAAGCCCATATATCTTCATATGATCGGCTATAAAAGTTAACATTAATTTTATTTTTAACGTTAAATATCACAAAATTTTACTTACCAGCTATATTTATACCTAAAATCGTAAGGAAAGAATGAATATTTTTATTGTCTAATTTTTTCCGAGTAGTTACATATTTATATCTCCCCTTTGCATAAACAAGCTAACTTGTTATGTTCTAAAAAAACCTTTTGATCTGTAGTCAGGCAACGACCACTTTCAATATAAAGCAACTCAAGATGACTTTCACCGATTTTTATAGTAAACATTATGTCCAGACGATCACCAACTGCAGAGTTCAAGGAATCTGACTTATAATTTTTACTAGCAATTTTCTCCTCTAAAAATATACCAAAAAAAAATAATTTAAACCCTAAATTACCTATTTAAAAAAATAAAAAAATATTACTTTAGTTCATATTTAATGTCTACTGGTAGATTTTCGAGCACAACAGAAATGAGTGGTTCAACAATTTGCGCCACATAAATTCTCTTGTACTGATTTTTGGACCAAATTGTTCTTAAATTCCAGATGCCAGCTCTAAAAATACATTATATTAGTGTTAAAATTAATTTTTTCTGACCAAGAATAGATAATTAAATCTAACAATTTACATACAAAGATTCAAGAATTTTTTGTGCACAATGCTTTTGTGACTCCATACTTTCTACCCATTTGTTTAAAGAAGGGACGAACTCTTCAGAAATAACCCACTTTAAATCTTTATTCATATGATGTTTTTGGATTATTTCTTTACATTTTTCTGTTATACTTTTATCCAAAAGTAAACTTGAAAAGCTTCTCTAAAAACACGAATATAATTTAGATAAATGAATTTGATTATCGTAATTATATTTAATGGTTAAAATTATCTACGGTTACCTTGAGAAAATCAATTGTATCATTCTTAAGATAAGAACGAGCCCACTCAGAAGATATATCAATAACTTCTATTCTTAATGGGTCATTGTCATTAAATTTTGTTAAATCTGTCTTATTTAAAGTCTCCAGTGCATTATAAATATCATCATAAGCACTGCATGCTTCATTTGAATATTTTAGATCTGACCTATTCCGAGCCTAATTTAAAAAATAAAATATAATATTTTACACTGTACTAAATAAATAGAATGTAACGGTAAATTTAAGGTAGCTTTTACCTAATTATGAATTAAGTGTTAGATAAAATTTCTTTATCAAATAATTTTAAATTAAGTCAGAAATATTGGCATGTCTTTTTAACTTATTAGATAACAAGGCCAGCCCAAATTCAGAACCCCAAATAATATATACAAATTTGTATTAGAAATATATAATTTCATTATGTAATAGAATCAAAGAACGTACTAGAAAGAATGAAAAGAAATCTTAGTAAAAGATATAAAAGAATGCCTCAAATTCCAGATTCTACAAAACATTAATGGAGGTAGTCAAATTAAATCTTAATTCAAAAGAAAATAGTCCACTACTCCGTGAAGTAAATAGGTGTGTAGCATGTGCTAAACAAGTTATTATAATTACCGG